TGTTTTTTTTTTTTTTCAAGATTTTATTTATTTATTTGAGAGAGAGAGCACGAGTGGGGAGAGGGCAGGGGTGATGGACAGGGAAAGAATCTCCAGTAGACCCCATGCTGAGCATGGAGCCCAATGCAGGGCTTGATCCCACAACCTTGAGACTATGACCTGAGCCCAAACCAAGACTTGGAGGTTTAACCAGCTGAGCCACCCAGGCACCCCGGCTCTCAGCATCTTTATGCTGTGTGATTCCCTGACTCCTGGAGATATTTGTTCATTTGTATTAGGGGTATAGCCCTTTGCTGGGTGTTCTCAGCAACACTGAACAATAGATATACATGACCTTTCTGGACAGTGTTTCACATTCTGGTGGTAGAGTTGACCTATAAACATACATCAAGGCAACAATGCAGGACAAACCAACTGGGGCTTGAAAACACAATGCTTCCAGGAGCCAGGCAGCTAAATAAAATGAGAGAAATGGGCTGGTTGGGAAAGAAACCATCTAGATGGAATACTCCCACCTCTATCCTAGCAAATTAGGGCCACAGAGATGTGAGATCCAATATTGCCACATCTTTTAAAATTTCAAAGAGACCTAAGATACCCAAATTTTGATGTGAAATTCCATGATTCTCAAATATTGTGCTGCACCTAGCTTATGGATGGCCATTTGGGGACTCCTTCTGCAGTATTGCACAAATGGATGAGAGGCCCAGCCTGGAATGCCACAAGAGGCCAGAGCAAAAGAATAACACAGTAAAGTTATCCTCTTTTCCTTTGCATCTGTCATTCCCTCTGCCCAGAACACACTTGCTTCACCCCCTTCTTCCCCCTTACCTCATCTTCCTGGAAAGCTTCTGTTTATCATTGAGACTCAATTCTACCACCACCCTCTGAGAGGTCACGCCCACTCCTTAGGGCATCTCTAACACTCCCTACAAATTGCTGTTCCAACACAACATTGTATTTTAATTTTCTCTTTACAGGACGGTCAGCCTCACTAGGGATAAAGTCCTACAGGCAGGGAAGATGTCTTAACTTTTGTCTGTACGTCTAGTGCTTAATACCATGTCTGGACTTGATTAAGGGCTCAAACATGCTTGCTAAGGGAATGGAAAGCTTTTTAGATTAAAGCGTTTCTCAAAGTGTGATCCCCATACCAACTACTACGGAATCCCCGCAGGGCCAGCTCTTGAATATTCTTACTCATTAAGTCCAGAATCCATCCCTGAGTCTTGCTTTAAATAAGCTCCCTGGGTGAATTTTATATGCACTGAAGACTGAGGTCCTCCTGGCTAAACTGTAACCCCCCCTAGGAAAAAGATGGTGTCTTCTTTGTTGGCCATTATATTCCTAGAACCTGGTATGGCACTAGGAATAAAGTTAGGCATTTGGCATATATGTGCAGCATGAATGAATGAAAAGGTAAGAATTAAGTTGTAACTGCACCTCACACCTCTAACAGAAACCCCAATCTGCATCTCATCCATCCCTTTATTTATACCTACCACAAAGGCACCAAGATAGGCTGAATAGCTGGTCAGTAACTACTATCTCTATGGACAGTCTCCTCAACTCCTGCCCCTCTAGGCTTGGACGAGTGCTCAGAGGAGAACATAAGGCATTTGCCGATTCAATGATTTTATCCCTTAATGACTGCAGACAAGGAAAGCAAGGAAGCTTGAATGCAAAAAAACATACAGAACTCTCATCTTGGCTACTGGTGTTAGCAGTACTCCTCTTCCATCTTCCCTGCATCCCCTACCCTACAAGCATCACTTTGCCTCTGGAATCCCTGATGCCAAGACTTCCAGCAGGAATAGCTCCTGTTACACTTCCTCTCCCTTCCCTTCTCTACCCTCTGGTGGAGGGACAGTGAATAGCAAAATGGGCTGGAAAAAAGATCAAATAACAGCAAAAATTATGAAAAACAAGTATTTAGTGAGGTGCCTGGGTGGTTCAGTCAGTTGGGCGTCCTGCTCTTGATTTCGGCTCAGGTCATGATCTCAGGGTCCTGGGATCAAGCCGTGTGTAGGGCTCCATGCTCAGTGGGGAGTCTGCTTGAGATTCTCTCTCCCTCTGCCCCTCCCCCTATGCACACACTCTCTCTAAATAAATAAATAAAATTCAAAAAAAAAAAGAAAGAAAAACAAATATTTAGTTATTTTCTGGAGGTAAGACTGAGGCGGTTAATTTAAGGTAACTACTAGTCCAGATTTCAAAAGAGCACATGAAATTAAACCTGAATAAGATGCTTTTCTTGGTTTTCCATAAATGATTAGTTAATGTAGCCCACCGAAAACCTGTCTACTGTCTTTGACATTTTTTACTCAATTCAAATCGGTAATGAGTACAGATGTACTCACTGTACAAATGTACAGTTTTCCTAAACCAACGAACCATAGAGAACATAGCCCCAAAAGGTTTCCTGGCCTCATATTAAAGCTAACAGAGAATCTTCCAGGCAGGCTGGGAATTACAATGCTTCTACTGCCACCCAAATTGCCCAGTACTGGCTCTGATCTTGGAGTTGAAGAGAAAAAAATAAAGATCTAAGCACAAGATAGTATTATTGCTTCTGAGACAATCCCCACAGCAACATTCCCCACTGGACCAAAAGCTACTTGAAAGCAAGGTCCTTTTATCATCTCTGTTTTCCCAGGGTCCATCTCAGTTCATAGCATTGAAGAAACATTTAAAGAATGACCAAATTAATAGAAACCTGTACACTGGTATATGGCAGGAATCAAGTTCAAGAACCCAGATACATTCACTCCAGGTTCACTAACCACAATGGATAACACTGTGTATCGTATTTCAATCTCCCCAGTAAATGGCCAACAACCCTATCACAGATCAAGTGTTAGGTAGTTAACAATACAGAAGCACCACCTTTTGCCACTGAACATTTCCTATTTTTTTTTGTCTTTTATTATCTTGTCCTGCCAGTCAACATCTTGACACTAGGACAGCAGTTAACATCTCATTCCATCAAGCTCTGCTGTAGACAATTCTCAGCAGTATGAGTGAATATGCACACCAGCCATTTATTTTTCCTGATTCCTTAAGCAAGTAATCCTTCTTGAGTAATGGACCCCTTTGAGAGTATGACAAAAGCTATGGAGTATGACAAAAGCTATGGAGCCGCTCCTCAGTAAATAAATTAGCATATGCATATAAATGCAAAATATTATGCATAATCATAGGCGGTTTTTAGATATGTTGATGCCCACACCCAAATCCTCCCTTCAAAGACCCTAGTCTAAGCCATATCAAAAGGAATGGAGGTTACCTATTCAACATTATTCAGCTTTCCAGGGAGATGGTTTCACAGAACACAGACCTCAACAATTAAAACTCCAGCTCTTTTTTAAGGATAGTGAGTAACACAGTAGACAAGATTTTCAACCTCAGCACTACCAAAATGCAAAATTGCTATTTTATTTATTCAATGGGCCACTCCTGTGTAAAATCACAGCTATAATTTGAAGCACTATAAGCTTTTCTCCTTAGGTGCTTTATCAAGCCACTGCCTTAAAAGTCTCCAAAAACTCCCTTTTGCTTCTTGGGTAATCTAAGCAGAATTGATCAGACTACCATAAGAAACAGTATATCTATCACAGTGCCAGGAACATGGACTGTGGGATCACAGGACCACCATTTACTTCTTGGGCAACCCTGGGCAAGTTATATAACTTGGTGCAGCCTCAGTTTCCTAAATAGAAGGTAACATAGTGCCCCCCCTAAGGTGCCTGTGAGGATTAAATCAGCTAACACATGAAAATTAGTGCATTGCATGGGCCTTTGTGATGCTCAATAAGTGATAATAAATGCTAATATAACTGTCTATAAAATACTTGTCATAGTTCTCAACACACAGTAAATCCTCAATAAGTGGAATCTGGTATAATTGTAATTCTTGGAATTTGTATGAACATTATCTTATATTATAAGTGGTCTTAGGGATAGGGAGAATTCCAAATTCTCAGTATGAGCTTTCTATGCATAATGCACATTCTGTTCAAACCACTGAGAGCCTACCATGAGGGAATGTGGGAAAGAGATGAAGGAAATGTGATCTATGTCTTTGACTATGCAAAGCTCAGAAGTCACCAAGTCCACAGGGGCACACAAAGCCTTTGGTGCCAATTTAATCCAGTTTGGGGTCTCCAATTGTTCTTGCCCATTCAGCTCACACCTCCATTCCATAAATTCCCACTTGAGCTTAATCCCTGAAGGGAAAATGTCCCTACTGATTAATTTTTATGCTTCCATCTGTCATCAAATAGCAATCATGCAACCACACAGATCTCCTTTTCAGTCTTAGTTGTCAGAAAAACTCAAAATGGTGTTTGTTGCTCATATTTTCTTATGTATTCAATTCATATGTCAGAGACTTCTCTCTTCCTTTTCCTTCTCGAGGTCACCTCTCAAAGGCCATCCAACAAACTATGTCTTAAGCAATCAATCACTTCAAAGCATTTTGGAAATAATCAAGGCACCAACTTTACAATAGTTACGGGCCATTTCCCAAAGTGGGGAACCGGACAGACAACTTGTCACATATCCTTTCTAATCAAATACAGGTATATTTTCTCCTTTTAACTTGTGCACAGGAAAGGCGTAAGCATCTTAAACCACATTTCCCAAGTCAGAAACTTTAATTCTGTATCTCTCAGAAGTTTCTCATGTGTGAAACTCTCTCAGCTGAAGAAGAAAACCTTTGCCAAGGTAGGGAAGAGGCAGTCAACCCAAGCGCCCATCGTACTGGCATTTAAAGTTAGCTGACAGTGAAAAAGCAGACCCATTTTCTAAAGCATTCCAGGATCTAAAATACCAACTGATAGAATCACTCAAAAGGCCCTGGAAATTTTTCTTGGAGGGCTTTATCTTATGAAGATGAATGACAACTCAAGTGGTTTTTGCAACACTACCACCCACTCACAGGCCGTCCTTTCATTGGTCGATCGCAGAAAGGAATGTCAGGAATAGCAGCGATTACTTACATCTATAGGTCATCTCAAAGCTGTCGCTGATGTTCACAATATCAATCTGGGGGAGCAGCTTTGGGGGCTCTGTGAGTTGTGACAAAGCAAATCTAAAAGCAGCATGTTCCTGTGACTGCTGGTTTGGAAATAATCCCCCTACGAGGAAAGAAAATGCAACATGTTGTCTGGGTTAGAGGCAGGTTTAATCCCCCAACAGCCCACCTCAGATGGGCCCTTTTCTTCTCTCCATGCCAAACCCACTAGTTGTAGCCTTCAGTGGTGGGGAGGGGAGTTCAAATAGACTCAAGTGGACATGGAGGCTTAAACTTCCACAGATGAGCTTTTATGTGACAAGGGCCTCTACCACTCTGCCCAAACATTTGGTTGTTCATTCCGCAACCCAGATCAGGTCAGAGAAAACAGGAGAACGGCATTTCTCTTCCTCCTCCCTCCTGCAACCATCCAGGTGGCCTAAGCTCTTGTGTGCATGTAAACCCTCGTTGTGTCTAATTTTTCCTGTATTGGACCCATTCCTCACTACAAAGCCTTACAGGAAGTAGTAGTAACAAATGTTGCAGGGGGAAGTCTAGCACTGGGACCCTGTGGGCTTCTTCAACACTGTCACCCTTTGCTTTGACATTTTTGGTCTTTGACCTGGCAAGACCTGAATGCAATTTAACTATTCTATCACCTCTGAGGTATATTATTCATTTCTTCTGAAAACCCTGGATTTTTACAAACAGTATTCTGCTTCCTCTTTGACACTCATGATCCCAGCTACCTAGGAATGGCTTGTTACATAAGAGATTGCCCTGGTGTATATTTGCATGGTAGAACCCTGGACTTCAAGGATGTGGGGGTTTAAGAATGTCAAGAGGGTATGAACATTCTATTCTAGTGAAAAGCATAACAAAGGTGCTTGTTGGGGCAAGAGTACATGGCCTACCTTTGTATTTACTGTGGACATGTAAAATGAAATTAAATTCCATTTCTACGGATTAGAATCAGCTACTTCCAGAGACTGAACTATAATGAATGTTTACATAGAAGCTTATTTCAGATTCAACAGGAATCACAGTCCCAACATAATGTACTTATAACTTCTTATACAGTTGGTATGTGTTTGTTTTTAAGAACCAATAAATGGACTGTAAAGCTTTTATTAGCTATTGTACAAGTAGAATCAAGTACTACCTGATGGCGGTGATATTTTCAGCATTTGTTCTGGAATTTAATGTTTCAACCTTTTATTTGAAAACAAATAATGGTTCTCCCAGTTGAACAAATAAGTTGGGGCTAAATACGATGGAAAATCTGCAGAGATACACGGGCGAACATATCACATACACGTACACAAAACACAAACCACCTCCACGCGTTTATACCCATAGTGCTATACACAAATACACTTGGAGAAAGCAAGTCCACATATCTCAAGACAAGCATTTCCAATCAGCAAAGTATGGGCAATGCATCAGTACCAACATAAACAACGCCACACATAAGAGAAAGTGATTTACACATGTTCATATGCCTCCATTTTAAAGAGTAAAAACAAAAAACTCCTGCTGGATTCTGATGCTCCACCCTCCCTCCCCACCCCCCAGATGACCACACCCCAAACACTTCGTTGTCCCCTGCCTCCTCCGTAATGAATGAAAGAGAGGGGTGGGGGTGGGGCGGTAGGCGGCTACAGATGGGGCTGCAAAGGAAGCGTCTCCCGAGGCAGGAAGTTTTGTTTTGCGTGTAAGACACTAACACAGACCCACTTCAGAATATAGTTTAACAGGTGTCAGGAAACAAAGCAAGTTACTCCACGGCGGTTCCAACCACCCTGGGAGCCAGCGTGCTGGAGAGGCCGAAAGAGCCTGGTACTGCAGGGCTCGTGTGCCCAGCAAAATAGGACCTGTACCATATGCCCCCACAAACACACACTCACACAAAGAACACAAACTACCAGTAACAGGAACTTTCCCTAGTGGAGCTATGTCCCCATGAGGGAGAGAAAACAGAACCCAAACCATCCAAGATGCCTCTGAGCAAAGCCTCCAGCTCCATTCCGGGTCACACACAGCACTGGAACGCTGGTCACACTGGAGCCCCGAGCCCTTGTGGACACATTGTTACTGGTGTTATTGCTCCTATTGTTTTGCTTTCACCCATTATTATGAGGAGGAGCAGTATCTATCAGCTGCCCCACAAATACAGGGAGGGTGAGGGGTCCTTTTAGAAGCATGACAACCAAGAGGGGGAAATGGGGGACAAAAAGCATGTTGAAACCTGCCTCTAAGTTGAGAGGATAGAGCCTAGTGATGGGGACAGCTAAGAGGAGGGAAGGGAAACGTGTCTGTGTGTGTTTGTATGTATAAAAGGTAGACAATGTCTGTGGATGGAACATCTAAGAGGAGGGGGCAAGGAAAGGAAGAAAGGCAGACTACGAAGTTCTGGAATCGGGGGATTGGGGACCACCAGCCCAGCATGGCAGACAGCAGACAGAAGGCAGCTGGGGGCGTCCAGCGCAGGAATGAGAGCCCCCCTTGACTTAGAGTGGGGGCCTCCTGGCATTATGTCAGGGGCTGCAATAAACCCAGCACCCTACACTCCTTCTTTCAGAGGGTCTCTTTCCCCTCCCCCAGCCAAGAAATCATCTCCTCAGTCAGTTAAATACATATGTGCATATTTAATACCTAACCACACACAGAAATACACCACACATATTTATATAAATAAATGAAATCAGGCACCATCTATCAAGCAATGGAGTGAACTCCTTTAAACACCCACCACCTCTCTCCTCCTCCTCGCTACAGCCTGAATTTTCTTTCTTTCAAAGCAGTGGTTCCTCCATTTCACATGCTCATGCCTGGAGTGTGAGTGGTGTGTGTGGATCTGTGTTTGTATGTGTATGTGTGTGCACGCTTCCCTCTGCCCCTCATCTGATCAAGAGAAGCCCCCTCCCCAGCTGGTAGTCCAAGTCTGCCTTCCATCATCACCCAGCTTTCTATCCAAGCACAGTCCCTAGCGGGGGGAGGGGGGTTTGGGGGACACAGACAACCCTCCCCCAAAAAACCCCTGCCAGACCCAGAAAGTCCCTCCCCAGGCTGCCCCTCTCACTCACCGATCTGGATATTGTTGGGGAAATTGGCACCTACTACCGCGCCTAGGAAACCGGTGCAGAAGAAGGCAAAAATGTGCTGCATATTCCTTTTTGCATTGGCGAAAAAGAAGCCCAGGTCCAGTCATAGATTTGGTATTTCCCCCCCTTCCCTTGATTCCTCTCTGTTCTGCCTGTTCTTTTCCTCCTGCAGTTCCTGCCTTCCTTGCTGCTTCCTTCTTTCCTTCTGGGAGGTTTGTCTGTTTCCCTTGGAATCGGAGCACTTCAACGGCAGCGTTAACACCAACTGACAGCCAGATTAACTGAGCACAGAAAAGAGAAGCCCGTCCTCATGCTGGCGGAGCGCTTGCTCCCCCTCTCCTCTCTCCTCTCGCAGCCTGCCTCTCTCTCCCTCCCTTGCTCTCGGTCTCCCCCTCACACTCACACAGGCTGCAAGCTCGGGTGGCGCTAATACCCAACCGAGCCAGCTCAAGTTCACGGCTGACCTCCTCTCCCTACCACCCCGTCTCCCAGTCCTCACCTTCTCCTCCTCTCTGTGTGTGCAGATGGGGAGTGAAGGGGGCTTGGGGGGGATGATACAGGGAGCCTGGTCCTGAAAGGAACAACCCCGTCCCCATCACCCTCCCCCGCCTCCCCCAGTTCTCTCTGCCCCATCCCCCAGCTCCCAGCCCCACAGATGCTACTGGAAATGTGGGTTCAGCTGTAAGTCAGTAGGTGGCAGGGGGTCCCCACAATAGTCCTCCAACCACCCGCTGCTTGATCTAGGTCACTTCTTTTAGGAGCGCACGGGCTGTGCTGGATATATCTCCTGCACTCCACTGGCCCAATTATTCCTACAACTAATTCCTAAGGGGGAAGACCCTAGAAATCCCTCCTAGGAGCTTTTAAAGGAAAATAAAGGCTTTTCCTCCCTAATGGGAGGAATGACAGAAAGGCAAACCAGAGGGTCTGGAGTGATTGGCAGGTGCCTCGGCTTGGACATTTGGCAGTCCCTGTCTGCTTTTACAAGTGGAATTGGTGGTCCCTTCTGAATCCTAGGCGTTTAAAACGGGCCCCCTTCCCACTTTCCCTGCATGCCACTGGAGTCTATAGCATCAGAATCGTGTGGGTGTACAACAAAGGTTAAGGATACTTAGAACAATTACATGAGTCATTTTGCAGGGGTTCTAGTGAGAAGATTCAGGCTTCTTTCAGTTATCTCTGGATGCTGGTCATGCCCAATGTAAATCATTTTTTTTTTTTTAAGATTTTATTTATTTATTTGAGAGAGAGAGAATGAGAGACAGAGAGCATGAGAGGGAGGAGGGTCAGAGGGAGAAGCAGACTCCCTGCCGAGCAGGGAGCCAGATGCGGGACTCGATCCCGGGACTCCAGGATCATGACCTGAGCCGAAGGCAGTCGCTTAACCAACTGAGCCACCCAGGCGCCCTGGTCATGCCCAATGTAAACGAAACTCCACAGACCCTCCTGGACTGGAGCTTCTACTGAAATAACCTGTAGAGAGAACAACTGTGTTCAGGGAAATAGTGTGGGCTGCAAAGTGACAGTCACGAACCATCACAGAGCACTTTGCAGTTTCTGAAGCAGCTTTACAGTGTGACCTCACTCTCTGCTCACACCAGCCCTGTGAAGTAGCCACCACCCTTATTTTACAGATGAAAAACCGGAGGCTCTGCGGACTAAATCATAAAAATACAGACATACTAAGATGGAGTCTGGACCCTCAGGACCAACATATGGTCCATCCTGTGAACTTGAATGTTCTGGGCATTACCAATTGACCCACGACCCTGGTCAGAACTCCCACCCAACAGATGATGACACAGGAAAAGGAAAGTTCTACCTTTCCATAATTAGAAAGAACAGACCTGATTTTGCTTTGGCATTTGACTAGGCCATTTCTTCCCAAGGCTCCTCGCTTCCTTCACCAAGATTGCTCAATTACACACACTCACAGGACGCTACGAGGGCTGGGATTTGCAAGAAATAGCTCACCATGTTTGATGGAGCTCTGAAAGTAGGAACAACTTGGAGGTCAGATGCTTTCTAATTTCCTTCGCACTTTCACATCTATTAATTAGCTCAAGTGATTTTTAATGAGAGTATTTATTCATTTTTCATGTGCCAGGCAATGTGCACACATCACTTAATTGTACAATGATGCCTGTAGTAGATAATCTCACCCCCATTTTACAGATAAAGAAACTGAAATCTAGTAATTTCCCCAAGTTGCCACTACTAACAAGGAAGAGAATGAGGATTTGAACACAGAAAACTCTACCTTGAGGCCCAAGCTCTTAACCCTCAGGCTCTAATGGCAGAAAGTATTGAGCAAGAACATTCCAGAGGGAGTGCAAGCATCAGCTTGAGAAGGTGAGACAACAGATCAGGAAAGACCTCTAAGGTCCCTGACAACATTAGGAGTCTGTAATGCCAGGATTCCTTCTTATAATATAATTTCTCCATTTGCATATTTTTGTCTCTTGCTATTTTGAATGGTACCTGGGGATCTTTTAAGTTCCCCGAGCTTTGTGCCTGGTAATAATAATAATTAGGCTGTCACTGAAAGCTTCACACTTCTCTGTCACCTTTCAGAGGAAGATCTCAAAGTCCTTTACAAGGATTAATTAGCAAAACCTCAACGCCTACCTGTAATAGTTAAGATTTGTTTTGCTTACTTTGGGGGAAGGGGGCTTTAAGGAGTCAAAACCAGGCATTTTCTATGATCATCAGAAATCCTATAATCAGATAGGTTGTCCTAAAATATAGCTCGAACTATGTCATTGCTTTGCTCAAATATGGTCAATGGCTCCCCTTGGCCTATTAAATACATAGTTGTTCAATGATTAAATAAACATGGAGCTTACATATTTCAAACTTGAGCATCTAGGTCAAATTATGTTTAGGTTCAACTATTTATCTTGGAAAGTCTCTTCAAATATGGGTGGAGAACCTACTCTGTATCCCATAGGATGTCACGGGCTGGGGGATATAGAAAAGAATATGACACAGTTTCCGCCTCCAGGCAGGTGAATATAGTAGAGGAGGAAGATAGATGAATCCTGCCATCTGTCATCCAAAGCAGACCATGACTCGTGCTTGATAGAGATGTAAACACAACTCTGGGAGAGCAAAGAAGGAAGAAACCATGGGGAGCCAGCAAGGTTCAAAAGGCAGAAAGTGAGGGCAGAGGGAAGACACACGATCCAAGGGAAGAGCACCTGCAAGGGCTTGGAGGCAGGAGAGGGCACCGTATACTCCGGGAGCCTGGCACCTGTGTGTAGACTGGGAAGAGAGAGTGGGGAACGTGAAACCTAGCAGTCACGGTCAGGAGTTGGAGGTCACTGAATTTCTTGCAGGCAATGGGGAGTGATGGGACATTTTTAAGACAATATTTACATGACCAGGAGTGTACATAAGAAAGAAAAACTGGCCACGAGTAGAAAGGGATTTCCTCATTTCCTTAGCCTCAAAGGCTGGGCTGACATACTATACCTTGCCTTAATAGCCTATTCTGATTTCATCCGTCATTAGTACATCATGCTGTCTCCCCCATTAGTTCTGAAGCCTATTTGCCATCCCCAATATCAGGCTTGGAAGGCTTGACTATCCATAGTCTGTTGTGATTGATGGCAACCAAACCCTGTACCAATATGTCACACACTGGGATTTACATACTTATACATCCATCATCTCATTTCATTTCCTACACACACACACACACACACACACACACACACACACACACACACACACACACACCCCAAATCCCCAAGGACAGGAATTAGAACCTACTTTTACAGATTAAGTAAGACGCAGAGTGCCTAGCTGGTCAGCTTAAGATAGTGGTTCTCAACTGGCAGTGATTTTCTCCCCCAGAGGATATTTGGCAATGTCTGGAGACATGTTTGGTTCTCATAACTGGGCAGGTGCAGCTGGCATCTTGTGAGTAGAGGCCAGGGATACTGTTAAACATCCTGCAATGTATAGGACAGCCCCCCACAACAAAGAACTATCTGGCCCAAAATATCAATAGTGTTGAGATTGAAACACCTTTCTTAGGGGACATAGCAACTGGCATGCCTGGGACTAGACACCAGGTCCCTGATCCTAGTCTCTCCCTTCATCATATTACATTGGAAAAAGATTAGATTCAAATTCTTTCAAGACTTTTCACATTTAAAATAGTACACCTGAAAATGAGTGTTCCTCCAAGTCCAAATGGATGTGTATCTACTGGAGGGACTCCAGGCTGTTGACAGGCCTTGTAATGCTGCTCAAACTGAGCCCCAGAGATGGCATGGCATCTACCCCTATGATCAATTTGACCTATCGTGGTTCATATGTTTGGCATTCTTTATTTTTTTTTAAGATTTTATTTATTTGTCAGGGAAAGAGAGCACAAGCAGGGGGAGTGGCAGGCAGAGGGCAAGCAGGTTCCCCACCAAGCAAGGAGCCCGATGCGGGGCTTGATCCCAGGACCCTGAGATCATGACCTGAATAGAAGGCAGAGGCTTAACTCACTGAGCCACCCAGGTGTCCCTCTTTGGCATTCTTTAAGTTTCATTACCATATAGCTAAAATAGCCTGAGATTTATTTTTTTGGCTTTGATTTTACACCACAAATCAAAGAGTGTGGTGTTGGGCAGGGATTTCAAATACAAATGCCTCTTTGGGCCAAGGAAGAAAATGAATGAAATCAGCCACATGGGGGAGAGAACAATGAGGACAAAGTGAACTAGAAGGTGTATAACCTTTCAAAAGGTAGTTGCAAGGCCTTGATGCCAGCCAATTCTTGTAAGGAACCATCGGCTTGATGTGGCCAAATAGTCTTTTTTTTTTTTTTTTTTTTAAGAGAAAGCAGAAATAAGGATTTTTTAAAATATTAAGTGTACCTTCCCTGCAAGGGGCACAAAAAGGGTGGGGGCAGAGGAAATTGTCTCTGAGCTTGAGCTGGCCCACAGGCCCCAGAGTGCCAGTTCTCCGTCAATGGAAGGTAGACTCAAGGGTCCAACCACCCACCCAATATCAACTTGGGGGACAAGTTCATTTCATCTCTAGGCCTCTGTTCCCCCACCTGTAAAATGACAAGACTAGATTAGGTGATGGCTATAGACTGTTCTGGCTCTGACACGGTGAGTCCCTTTGAGGGCAGGGACCCAGTGAGAAAGAACAAGGACAAGAGATGGGTCTGGGAGGATCTGTGCTCTCTGCCTGCAGGGGAGATCAGCAGGTTCCTTCCCTTCCCCTGGGCTTGCATCTCAATCTGTAAAATGTGGGGCTTGTACCAAGGTCTCTTCTGGCTTGAAGATTTTGGGCTTCTAGTGTGAAACAATTCAAGGAGGGGGAGAAGCCATCAAATTTATGATCTGAGAACAGATCGCTGACAGCTAACAAATTGGCAAAAACGCAATCAGAGAGAGGCTGCCTCCGCGGCTTTATAAAGGCCCCGTTTTAAAAGATGTAGAAGAAAAATAATAACGATAATATTTTTCATGTTTTTAGCACAATTCCTACAGAAAGCTCCCAAAATACTCCACAGACTGTGTGTGGTGAGAACACCACCCCGAAG